TTCGAGCTGGTTTTGCTATTAGGGGTGCCTCGCGTTCCCTCTCGCAGCCCTTGTGTGAGAATGACTTGCTCTGGCTTGCTGTAGCGTGCTTGTCTCAGGATTTCCCAACTGAAACTCCGAGAGCCACCATATTAGGACTTCGCCAAACGAATTCGCAGCTGCTGCTTTTCGGACTGCAGAAGTTACTTTATTTCAATAAATCAGTATTCAGAATAGGGGAGCGGAGGAAGAGCGTTTTCAGAACCCATTATTTTATCTAATTGACGATGGCAATGCATTGTCTGACTAGTGTCTTACGCAGCAGTGTTCCTAACAACTTTTCCTCACGGAGCTTACTACAGATACCTAAGCTGACAGCATAAAAGGCAACTTTGATGTACTGGACGTTGCAAGCACGGTTTCTCCCGGCTTCTTCGGTCTCCCGAGGACACAAAGCCCTTACGACAAAGAGGGCCATATGACTTGACTTTGTTCAGAAGCCGTCTATTGTTCTTTTTGCGACACCGGGCGTTGGCCGTAAGCCCCCCCACCCTCCCAATCCCCCTGCTTCTTTCTCCTAAAATCTATTGTCAGTAGTTCTTGCCATGGCAACGTACAACAGAGTGGAGGATAATTCGGGACATAACAGATCGTAATATACAGATAAGTTAATGGAAATAAATAAAAAACAAAAGGTAAAAGGATTGTTGATGAAAAACACCTAAAATGTTGTTGCCAGTGACAACGATGATGGTGCACCAAATTAGCCGGGGATTTCTCCTTCCCTCGATTTTTCGAGCTTCATGCGCGCAAACGCGAGTCCTCTTGGAGCTCGATTTTTCGAGCTAGCGAGCTCGTTTTGCTATTAGGGTGGTAGTAACTACAGGGTGTCCCAAAAATGTATACACATTTTCAATAAGTGTAAACTTGTTGTTTATTATAAGTTTATTATTTCCAAAGTGAAAAGTATCTACAAGTGTCATTTTATAGGTTTTTTCCACTGCATTTTGCCTATTGAAACAGTGGCTGAATTAAGAGGAGCCAATGAACATTAATGCACCTGAATACGAAGGGAATTGTTTCATGGTATGTACTATTCCATTGCTTCGCGTTGCCAGCAGTGACATGATCAAAATGGACGCCAGTTTGAGAACATTCAGTGAAAAAAAACAATAAAATAATACTCGTAAATATTTTTACCTTTTTTAATCATAAAATTATGATTAACACCAATTTTACCATTATGTAAAATCTGTATACATTTTTGGGACATCCTGTGTTATGATGCTGCTACTGCTGCATCTTCAAGATTCCCATGGTAGTAAAAATTACAGTAATTCCTCGTCAAATCGGGATTTGCTTTTCGCGAACTGGATACTTCGTGAGTTTTCCCGTAGGATACGTTCTGCGACGTTCGATATTTCACGGTATTTTTAATCGTTACATTTTTTCCTTACTTTTATTCGAAAGTGTACAGGGCAGTGTTTAACAGCATAGAACGTGATTCTGAGAAAGTTAAAAGGAGTAGTAGGACAAATATGTGTATGTGAAGGATTTATGAAGCTTTGAAATATACAGTAAAAGTTACAAGGATGTAGAGCTTTTAAATATATACGTATACTACTTTGTGGAAATTTGAATTTCGCAGGGGTCTTGGAGCGTAACTGCTATGATATTCGAAGGATTAATGCACTGTCAAACGAAGTCACTACTGATTTTTACGGAAAGAACGCTAGGTAATTGCAGCACATATCAAGTTCGACGAGGCCTGGCCATACATTCATATTTGATGAGACAGAATTTCTCGCGAAAGGTGACAGTCGTGTGATTCGCGAGTTACTTGAGTCATGCTTCACGAGCCCCAAGGTTATAAACAAGTGCAACGACCCGTCTAATCCATATGCGGTACCGAGGCTCAGTTGGGTTAAAGCAAGTCGTCACTTGGGGAATGGCCAGGCCACCGCATCGTCTAATTTCAACGCCAGGAACCAGATGGCCCAGCCATCATCACCTACTCCATCGCATATTTCAGCAGGTCACGGTCATCGTCATGTCTGTGCATGACTATGACTATGCTACCATCACCTATGATTAAGGATTCCCGAAGGAATCCAAAACGTCAGGAAAATAAAACTCTTCTTCCAGTGGTCGCACCTCTTCTTCTGAATTAGCATACAAACGGGCAATTATCCTTGATAGGGGTCGTTAATTTTCATAAGTGAGCAGTAGCATAGAGACTGTGTCCTATAAATACTGCAACTCCTTGTGCATGAATTACCTGTTTCTGCTATTGTCTCTGATGAAGGATCCGCGACGAATTTCGGAAGGTCAGGCGAATAAAAACCTTCTCCCATCATCATCATCATCATCATCATCATCATCATCATCATCATCATCATCATTTTCATCATCATCATCATCATCATCATCATCATCATCATCATCATCATCATCATTCTTCTTCTTCTTCTTCTTAAGAGAGTTACGGTTTAGGTTCGGGTACTGCGCTTCGTCCACATGGTGGAGGGTGCTGATAATCAAAACAAAATCCGTTCCGGGGAGCAGTATTTTGGTCTCGTCTCTCCAAGAACTCTACTGGAACTCTCACTTTTGCGAACTTGGGTTCTTCTTCATTTTCGGGGAGTAGACGGTTTATCTGTTTATTTTATAATTAAGTGTACCCTTTTAGGTAACTTCACCCTCTTTGTATTCCCTAACCCCTTTATTGTTTCTTTGAATCACCCAGCTTGTTCCCGCGTAAACTGATGAAGGAAACTGCTAAGACAGAAAATTAAACCTTCCCCAAAACTCTTAAATCGCCATTGAGTGTGCACTTTTATTCGCCGCAAGGCCGTAGCAGATCAGACCTGTGCCTGCTTTCATTTACACCGCTAGACTTTTATAGTTAACAATCCTTGAATACGCTGCCTTTTGTGTGGGTTTTAAAAAAGCTCGCAAGAAAAAAAACTGTGCTTCGGGTTAACCCACTGGCCTGCCTTCAAGTTTTTCAGTTTCTTTTTATGTGGTTTCTGCTGGGTTCGTGTGGTTCTCCAGTCCAGCTTTTTGAAACGCAGACATTGGAACAAAATCATTCCTGCCTTGTCTATGCGCCTGAGAGCGAAAGCGTCGAATTTTCGTTAAAAAACGACGAATAAACGAGTTTGCACTGAAAGAAGGTCGCCAGCCTAGCGCGTGATAGCAAAATACCCCACCGCGGCGCGCTTTTTCGCTCTCGCTCGCGTTTCACGCAAACCTGGCAGGCCCGTGATTGGACGTGATCCTCTATCAGCTGATTCAGCCGGAACCAACCAAAATCCAGATTTGCAGAGGCATTAATCCCTTCTTTTCCATTCCTGACTCTGGCGAGGCAGGAAGTTTCAGGCCGTACTATTAGTGTTACGTAAGAGGGGAGGTGGGCGGGGGGGTTTGCAGATCTATATTGCTCGCCGGACGGCGAGTCCGTCATGCTTGTGGTGCCTATGACTGTCAGTTGCCCAAATCACAGTCCTACGGCTTCTGCAATTGGCAGAGCGCCGTAATTAGACCGCTGATTGCAATCAAGAGGCTTTCGGGCTGGAAAGAAGACACTAACGAGCGTCCATATCGAAAGCCGTCAAGGGCTTGGTCGTTATAACTAATATAAACAAAGTACTTAGTTGAAGAGCAAGTTCGTTGGTCCTTACTCTTCTGACGTCAGT